TGGGACATACTGAAACTAAACAAAACCAGAATAGAAGGAGAGAAAGTCACCAAATAACGAAATGCGAGCTGTGTCAGACAGAGTTATTTGCTGCGTACTTAAATTAAATAAAAGATAAAATCTGCAAGTTATATGTACAGGGTGTTTCTTTATATTTTTACCCCTACCTACAGCTTTAGCTATACGAGCTGGAAAAAAACTTTAAATATGAAAGTTATGTTTATTATCTTTTGCGAATATCAAAACGGGCAAATAACAGGTGCCAACTGTCACAATGACGAACACTTGCATTTTTCAAATGGAACACTCTATATTTTTGGCTAGAATGATAGCTTTTTTTTCTGATTGCAAATATATCATATATGTTGATATTTGGTTCAGTTGTTTTTGCGTTATTTGATTTTAAAATTGCTTTGAGCAAGCCTCATCATTGATATAAGAAACCAGGACAGATTAAATTAAGGGTAATGTAAATGCATTTTTAAGCTTGAATAGCGTAAAAACAGCTGAATCAAATATCAACATATATAGCATATTTGGAATTAGAAGAAAAAAATCTATCATTCTGGCCAAAAATATACAGAGTGTTCAATTTGAAAAATGCTAGTGTTTGTCATTGGGACAGTTGGCACCTAACATTTGCCCATTTTGACATTTGCAGAAGATAGTAGACATAAAACCCTACAACTTTCATATTTAAAGTTTTTTTCCCCCTCGTATAGCTAAAGCTGTGGGTAGGGGTCAAAATATAAGGAAACACCCTGTATATGTATATACCCCAACAAGCGCCTCCGAGGATGAATATATTGAACAACTTTACGAAGATATATTTACAGCAAAGAAAAATGAAAACTCATAGGAAACTAAAGTAGGTAAAAATACAGATAAAACAATAGGTAAATACGGACTAGGAGATAGAAACGCTAGAGGGAGATGCCTATTGACTTTATTGCAGAAGTGAAAATATATTTTGCATGAACTCCTTCTTCCAGTAAAAAACCGAAATTGGTTATATAATCATATATAATATCACAAGAGAAAAAATTCTGTCGGCAAAATTTTCGAAAGGTATGAAAATTTGTTGCTTGGCAATTTCGCGAATGACATTTTTGACAAAATCACGAGCCGTCAGGCGAGTGATTTTATCAAAAATGTCATAATAGCACATAGCAATATTGTCAGCTGAATTCCGAATTTATTGCCGGTATAATACACTCTAGTGAAATAGTCAATAGTAATATAACTAGTGCAATGGAAATTATTGATAATTTTTGGGAAATTTGCACGAGTGCCTTTTTCAGTTAAAAACGCATGAGTGCAAATTTGTCGAAAATCATAAATATATTTCCATTGCACGAGTTGTATTTAATGAGAGAATTTCTTAAATCAAAAATTTAAATTTTTTGTCAAAAAATGTCAAAACACCAGTTTTCGCACCAGTTACTATGCAATTATCTGATAATTTGCACTAGTGCAAATTATCGCGTAATTCCTTTCTGATAGGTTCAAATCAACAATCAAAACATGTCAATTTATTGTTGGAATACCAGTTTTGACAGATGTATGAAATTCTCACAAATATTAAAGCTAGGTGTCGAGAAGTTGCAGTTTTGAATAGATTTGATACCAACAGCGATCCCCAAATAATCTGAACAATCTTAAATATCAATATAGCATGAAAGAAGAAAAATGATAAAACCACAGCCCAATGGCCAACAATCGAAAATAAAAAGAAAATGAAAAAAAGTTTCAAAGCCGAATGAGCAATAAATTAAAAAACAGAGAAAAACAAATAAAAGTGGAAATGAACCCTTTTTCAAACTATATAGCTAGAAGTATACAAGTGGCAATAAAGGAACTCTCACAGAACATAAAAAGAGAAATAGACAAATCAGCCGAGACACAGAAAATTTGATAAAGAGAAGACGAACCATGAACAAAGAGGATCCAGAATATAATCTGAATAGGGTAATAAACAAGAAGATTAGAAAAGACCTTAGAGATTATAACACAAAACTTATAACAAAAACTATTGAAAATAACAAAAATATTAAAATCAAACCAATCAAAAGGAAAAGTGCAAATAAACCTAGAAACAAACACGGCATCTTGGCTACACATCACGAGAGAAATTGTAAACGTGGTAGAAGACTTCTACACAGAACTTTATAGTTCGCTACACCAAAAAATACAAACAAGAGCAAAAATTCAGAACGTAGCATCAGAGAAAAACCCCGAAATGGACAGCGATGAATTATGGTATGCACTCAGACAAATAAAAAACGGAAAGAGCCCCGGTGAAAATAGGATTATTAGCGAGATGATTAAAATGGGGGGAGAACTAGTACAGAGTGACAGAATACTGTTGATAGAGGTAAAAATAGGTACCAGAGTTATGGCAAAATGATGAAGTAATTTTATTATTTAAAAAAGAAGATAAAAATAAACTAGAAAACTATCGGCTAATAAGCTTACTATCCCACCTATATTAGACCCTGAGATAGGTCCTGTTTAGTGGAGTCATTTTTTTTTGTCTGGCATTTTGAGGGATGAATGTTACTAGTTAGCTGATGAGAATATAAGTGGTTTTAATGCCTGCCCCCTGTTCGAAATGTCCACAGAATGTTTCGCCGGAAAACTCGAGTTCGAACTGTGATTACTCGTCTGGCGATTTTTCAGCGTTATATTCACAACAAAACCTTCCATTCTCTCGATTACCAGACAAAAAGTAAACGCGGAAGGTTCTTTTCTTTTCTCTTGGAAGTTGACACTCATCCCCACTTTTTCAGCTATTGAAAAGCATCTGGTATTTTTTATGGGTGAATTATTATTCAATGTCAATCTTTTATTTAGAAGTCAAAAAATTTGAGATCATTAAAAAAAAAATCTTCATGTTAATCAATTTTTTTCTTCTGCAAATTTTCGAACAGGAGGCAGGCATTAAAATCACCCATATTCTCATCAGCTTAGTAGCCACATTCAGCCCTGAAAATGCCAGACAAAAAAAAATGACTCCACTAAACAGCCCCTATCTCACAGTCTATATGGGATACTTATCATTTATACATTATCACACAAATTAGAGAGTATTAGTTGATATGAATATCAACCCTGTGAACGGGTAAGATTGACCATCTGCAAACTATACGCACGCTAATCGAGAAGGCGACAGAGTACAATATACCCTTACATTTGGTTTTCATCGATTTCCAGAAGTATTTGACTCTGTTGAAACGGTGGCAATCTTAAGGCCACTAGACAATGCCAGAAAAATTTACTTTACACACTCAACACTCATGAAAAACATTTACGAAAATTCTACTATGAGAGTCAAACTACACACACGACAAAATCGTGATACACAGAGGAATACGACAAGGTTACATAATTTCCCTAAAGCTGTTCACGCTAGCCTTAGAGGATGTTTTCAAAAACCTAACCTGGCGGGAGAAAAAGAATTAATATAGATGGAACAAGATTATAACCATTTATGATTCGCAGCCGACTTCATTCTCTTTGGAACTAGAGATGCATACCTATCTCTGGCATAAAATACTATTGGGTAAAGAAAATTAAACGGCCGAAATCTCTCTGTTGGGCGGTTTTTGGTGAGCTCAGGGTTATCCTCGGATCGGACGATACCTATACCAATAAATCTCAAACAAAAAGCCTATGATTCTTGCATTCTGCCGGTTCTTACATATAGCTTGGAAAGAATGTTCTGAACCCGAACATCTATACACACCCTACAGGTAACACGGCGTCAAATGGAAAGGATCATACTAGGGATTGTTTAAGAGATCCAGTGCCAAATGACAAAATCAAGCGATGAATGGGGAAAAGTGTTGACCCCAGAAAAGATGGCAAGATGATATCCTGAAAATCGCAGGAAAGACATGGAAAGAACGCAGGACAGGAAACTTTGAAAACATATGGAAAAGACCCCTTCCAGGAGTGAACGAATACGGACTGAAAAAGAAGAAAGAAGAAGAATTGATGTATTCAGTATTCGCCGACATCCTCGTAATCATTTCCAACCGTTTGAAAAAGCTTAAGTTGGTTAGTTATTTGGCAAGACATCGGAGGATTAAGCCTATAAATGAATACGAAATAAACAAAAGTGTTGGAAAAACCGCCGAACAAGAAACAATAATCTCTAACAAAAATAGAAGCACTTGAGATGAAAGTGCGAAATCCAGGCTGGAGAACGTACCATCAGAAGTTACTCATCCTAAATGGAATTTCGCAGATCACATGAATCGATGATTTGAAGCTAACCGCAAGATTAGAATGGCGACAAGTGGCTCAAATGAAAGCTCGCTGGCAAACATTGAGAGAAGCCTTTAATCAAAGATTGATGATAACAAGCTTGAGAAGATGAAAATCATCAGAAACTGAATGGCGTCTTGGAGTCCTTGGAGAGTTTATAATGAAAGCAGAGACGGACATGCGTTCTACTGAAGCAGATGATGGTAGGAAAGTATATTCAATATTTCTTCTTCCATTGTCCAGTTTTAAATATACCTGGGTTCAAAAAATTCGGAGTTGGGAGATTGAGATATTTTTTTCGTTATTTAGTGGTCATTCCGTTTCAAATTCATTTTTTTTTTTTGATAGTTGATTAATAATGGACTCATTAGTATGTAGGTACTAAGTATTACAGCGAAGTCACAGGGTTAATTTAAAATTCAAATTTGCAGAAGAACATGGATGGCGAGACACAATACCTAAGACTTTAAAATGTGTTTCAAAATACAAGCCTAAACAGGATTCCAACCTCAAAAGCCACTCATGAAGTTGAAAAACATGTTATTAAAAAAAAAGTGATTTCTTCGTAATTTTGATTATTTTGAAATATTTTTTAAAATCCTGTATCAGTTTTGTCATGAAAATGCGTAAACGAAATTAATACGAATCGCTGGTAAATACCCGCATCTTTTCAACTTGGATACCACGCAACTTATTCACGACGTCTTGACCAGGCTCTTCGCATAAAACCAGCAGGATGACCGTTTGGTACCCGGTACTAGTCGAACCTGCGTCCGGTGCCCAATGAAAACCTGTTCTAGTTCTTTGTTGTACGGTCGTGAAAAAAAAAAGTCATATCCGATTTGAAAAAAATTTCCTTTCTAATCTACAACTGAACAGAAAACAAACAATTAGTTCAATTCTCACGTGGTGATGTTGAATATTTAAAAACCGGAGGGTGTGGGTTTCAAATGACCTTATAGATACGAGCGTGCCGGACTTTTATACATTGAGAAGTATTTTTCCTCTTCTCATTGTTGTAAAAACACCAATGGGTACCGATTAATGGATATTCTGAATTTTTAACCGAGCGCTCTATGTTAACTAGTAGTGATAGGTGAAGTGATTGCGGAATAGTTAGTGATGCTGTAAGGATTAATTACGTTATCGTCTTGTAAAATTTGTGGAAATGAAGAACATTTTTGCCCAATTGTACAAGTGGTTTGGAGCCAAGACTCCTGCTGGGGAGAATAAGAAAGAGGCAGAGCCCTTTTTTATGTATCTCAGTGTGATAATTGGTAAGACTAATTATTTTTTAGTTAAGTAATTAGGTTAGCTTTTTAAATATAAAAAATTATTGGTATTTTTGAACTTTTTGTTGCAAACTCCTGGATGGAGAAATGCAATTAGTTTTGTTAAAGGCTTCAAAAAAATATTATCGATTGATACCTTCTGGGCTTTAGTAATTTAATCATTAAACGGAATTAATTGAAGTCTTAAAGAATGCTTGATCTATGAAATTCTCACAGGATGTAACATGATGTTTTAGAAACATCTTTTTTTTTAAGAAAATAGTTTTTCCAACTTTTTAACAAATACGCCTAGAAAATTAAATATAATTCAAAATGACAGAAATTGAAAAAAATTAAGAAGCTGCCAAGGTTGATTTCAAGCTCCTGCAATTTAGACATTATTTGAACAAACTATCGTTTAAGAATTTTTGGCATGATTTAAAGTGTCTAGAAATTTCCAATATTTTTACAATATTGTTTTATTAAAGTAGATACCTACGTAAGCGGTTTTATGAAATAAGTTGAAGTTTGAAAAATGTCATTTACGTAATATAAGAAATATAAGTTTATTCCACTACAATATTTATGCAAGTTCAAGATTCAGATTATATTTCAGGATACTACTCATGATCAAGGTCAAGTTCTGCCTACCTGAGGTTTCTTGAAATATACCTACTATTCAAAACTGCAATGCAGTGCCTTTTTGAATGAGAACGTTTTGAAAATATATTTTTATACAGGATGTGCAAAATATAATTACTCTCGAAAATGAGAATGGAAAAGAGATACAAGATCGGTTAAATTAGGGAAAAGTAGACATTTTTGATGACCACTTTCGATATACCTAAAAAGTTTTCAAATAATTTTAAGTTTTCGAGAACGTTCAAAACATATTTCATTATTAAAAAAGTAGGCACAAAACATATTTTTTCTGTCTCCTCTACCAAAAGACATTTTTAGTATCTTCGATACTTTAGATTTTAGTCTATGTAGTTTTTTTTAAAAAAATGAGTAATATAGTAGGTACTTTTTATCAATCACTTTGATAGGAAATTCAATTTGGTATACGATCCTATCCCGGCAACTAATTAACTTGACAATAGAGTTTTCTAATCTACCTAAATAGGGAGATATTCGCAAATTATGTTGCTAGAAGTAGCATCGACATTAAATGAAAATCGGCTCAGTAAATTATTTTGTGAATCATTACAGCGAAATTTACTTATCCAGAATTGAAATTGACATGCCGATTTTAATTTGTTGATAACTGGTTTTCGAATCATTTGGGAATCTGCGGCAGTAATACCTACTTAATCATCAGTCATAATCAATATTTCGACCTATATCCAAATCACCAGCATATCGTAATCACATAAAATCCATCGATTTTAATCTGATTCTCGAAATGAATGTGAGCTGACTACATTAGAACGCCAATGGTCACCTGACGTCAATACCTGTTTTTGTCATATACTTCACCCCCTCACTCCTCATACGGAAATCTTTACTATATCACAGACAACTGAAAGATGTGCTTTGTGAAAATTAGCAGTCATACAAACCAGAAAAAAAAATAATTAGGAAATACGAACAGTTGTGTTTCGAAATGGATTCTCATCCATGTATACAGGGTGTCCGGAAAGTCAACGATAATACTGAAAGGGCTGATGGAGCAACTCATTAGCATCCAGAAAAATATATTATGACCTTTGTAAAAAATCGATGGTTTCCGAGATATTGTCACTTTAATAAAATTCGTTAAAATCATCCCCATGGAACAAATTTTCGAGTGTCACCTTAAAATTTTCATTATTCTTAGATTCTGAATTCAGTTTTGCAATGGTGAATAGACATTTCATTTATCATAGATCAACATTAAAAGTAAAAGTTCTAAACATTGAAACTTGAGCGATGGAAAATAAAAATAAGCCATACTACCTATACCTTGAAAAGATTTTTTTATTGAATGTTTTCAACTTTGACTTTGAATGTTGGTCTATGACAAATAAAATGTTTATCCACCATCACAAAACTAAATTCAGAATCTGAGAATAATGAAAATTTTAAGGTTACACTCGAAAATCTGATCCAAGAGGACAACTTTAACAAATTTTATTAGAGTGACAATATCTCGGAAACCATCGATTTTTCACTAAGATCATATTATGTTTTTCTGGATGCTAATGAGTTGCTTCATCAGCCCTTTCAGTATTATCGTTGACTTTCCGGACACGCTGTATGTACTCGTGAAGTTCACAAATGTTAAACAGTTCAAATATTTTTCCAATAGAAAATGTTCGCTTTGTATGGTAATAATATCGGATATACAAAGTACCTACCCAACATAATTCTAAAAAAGAAAACCATAAAGCAGTTGCATAGAAACCATGATGGAAATCCCAGAATGCTGGCTACTGGTTTTATTTTATCTGGGGCGTTGCAGGTCGGGTATAGGAATTCACGAGTCGTGATTTCTTGACTTCTTGTGGTTTTCCTTAGGGCAGGTAGTTTTTTCGGTTAAAATAGATGTGAATTTAAGCCAGTTTTTTTTATGGGCAATCCATCTACTCGCTACCTAGTGCTGCGAACCTAGTAAATTAATCCATGCTTTATTTTATTATTAATAATACCTACTAATTTCCTCTTTAACTAAATATTTCAACTTATATAAACTAACTTCAATTTCAATATTGAATAGGCAATTCTCTTCCGAATCCCAAAAGCATAATGAAATCAAAGTCACAATCTATTTTTATCAAGTTAGTCATAGCCTTAAAAATTCGCAAAAAGTACCGGCCGCCAGGCCACACATTAGTCCTATGAACTGTCATCAACACTCGTATATTCCAATGTCAATTGCAAGAGTTCTCAAAGGAATTAAAAGATTGTACCGTTTAGTGAACAACCATTCCGTAGAAACTGATTACTTTATGAGCTATAATTAGAATAAATTCTTCACGTGTCGATAAATTTCGCTTGGAATTGACGGCATTATCTTAATTAATCTCGTTAAAGGTTAACAGAAAATTAATTCTGAGGAACTGGCAATAATAAGAAACTTAATATAGGATGATCTAATGCGACATTTATAAGTAATGTCAGGTTTAAATTTTCTTATTCACTGGGATTTGGTGGTAAGGAATATACTTTCAATGGCATTTTTTTTTCGATAACACGGTTTTTATTGAGCATAGTATGTAATGTTGTATTGAAAAGTTTCCAAGGAATTGAAAAATATTTTCATGAAATCTAAAAGTTGCCTAGTCGCATTGGCTGCAATTTTAGATTTAATCTGGTGGAGAGGCTTCATAAATATTAAACCAGATCAACATTCTTGAAGTGATGCAAGAGTAGGAATGATGCAGGATCCTACTGAAGATAATATCAGTAAATTTAGTCAACTAAGAAGAGAGGCTAATAAGCTACTAAGCAGGAAATAATGAGAACAAGGTCAGGAGTTGCAGCGGTCGGATGGAGGGAACAATACCAGGAAATTCTATAAGACAATAAGAACAAGAAAGAGTGGCTTTAGACCCAGAACCAACAACATCACAAACAAAGACGACAACGAACATCTATCTAGTAACCAGGCAAGATCAAATGCTGCGAACATGGAAAGAGTACTTCGAACAACTACTTAACCAGGGTTATACAAACAACGAAGAACCGGCCAGCTTTCAAATTAATCCAAACAGAAGACTTGAAAGAAAGCATAATAATTCCCTTACACAAAAAAGGAAACAGAATGATATGCAAAAATTATAGAGGAATATCGCTCATAAACATAGTATACAAAGTTTTATCAAATATTAATCCTGTCGAGAGTAACCCCATTCACAGAGGAGATAATAGGACAGCGACTAACTGTTCACAATTAGACAACTACTAGAAAAAAGCTTGGAATTGAATAGGCAGATACGCCAACTGTTTATAGATTTCCAACAGGCCTATGATAGTGTGAAAAGAGTTGAGATCTGGGAGACAATGGCAGAATTCGAGATACCCTAGGAGATTATAAGACTAACAAGAGTTTGTGTAGAAGGTTCTAGAACAGTGGTTCCCAAAGTGGGTGAAAACGCCTCCCAGTGGCCGCTACAATCATTTCGGGGGGCGGTAAAGAGCTCAGCTGATACGAATGCAGAACTGAGAGAGCTATATGATGAACCAGACCTGTGAAATATATTGAAGGCTCAACGGCTGACATGGGCCGGACATGTGCGTAGGCAACCTGAAGAAAGGGTAATACGACTGGTATGACAGAAAACCCCAGAGGTGAAGAGAAACTTTGTTGCGAATCTGAGAAAACCTGACATCGAAATGGGACGGAGCTGATGACCGATCGTGTCGGATGGAGGCAAGTCGTTACGTCAGCCAAAGCCCATCAGGCGCTGTAGCGCTACGGAGTAAGTAACATTCTCGAAGCTAAAATCGTACCTACTCGGGATAAGTTTTGAAGAAAAAAAATCACAGTCCTTCGCAAAGATGCAAAAATGCGAAATTCATGGGATTTAGATTGTGATAAAAATGGATTTTGATTGATGATATGACGTGTGACGTCATGTGGTAAATGCAGCATGCACTTTTTCGCGATTCGAGTCCCCATGCTAGGATAACAGACACATTTTCAATGTCAATTTCTATCTAACCAGGGGGCGGATTACGAACTCTCGATTCGAACCGAAACCGCCATGGATTTCGAACGCATTCTGATGCATTCGGATAGAGTGCGCCCCCAGGTTTCAAGAGGATTACGGGCTTAGGAGCTCTACTTTATATTACAAATGTTCAAATCCAGACAGTGGACTACCTCACCATGATGAGAGCTTTGAGAACAATACCAACCCGAAATATCCTAATTGAAGCTGTTGAAGTCCATTATAGTTTAAGTAGGAGCTCGTCCACGAAAGAAGAGTATCTGTGGAAGACGGCTCCTACTGCAAGCCAGGGCAGACACTAAAACCTCCCAGATTTTTCTTCAGCGAATCCTATTTCATCCGGGTCAGTTGAAATGCGCCTCACCGAAGATGCAGTAAACATCTCCATTCCAAATGAAAGTCAGTTTTTGGCTTATTGGACGTTAATTTTATAGTTATTTATACAACAAGTGAGTTAAATGAATGTTTATTCATGAGAAGAAAGTTTAACCCACGAGCCCTGGCGAGTGGGTTAATTTTCTTCGAATGAATAAACATTTTAACTCACGTGATTTATACAAAATTTTATCCCATTTTGAGAGACATTTGAAAAATAAGGTACTTAATAGGAATTAAATTATGAAAAGAATTCATTTAGTGGTTATGAAAGCGCTAATTATTGAAATTGGTGGTTGCTAGGGTATAACTAGTTGTTTGTTTGTATTTGTAGCAGATTTTTATACTAGCAGAGTGACTTAAAAGACCGAGAGTGAGTTAAAAATATTTTAAGTCACTCAGGTGATAAACTTGTACTTACATTTGTTATTATGCGTTCGATAATGTCGTTTTTAAACGTCAAAATGGGATAAAATAAATTAATAATCTAGGTGAGTTTTCTGTTTTTATACTTTCTGTTTTTTTGTTGTATTTTTCTTTTTATTGTTCAGTGTTATACCTAATTGCAGTTTAAATGTATAAAACTGTCTCAAAAGAATATTCGCTGTCATAATAAAGTAAATTAGGTAGAGTTCTTGTTTCTAATGTGACAGCCCTAAAGATGATGTAGATTGCACCGAAACGTCGGCATTGATTTCATCATTAAATTAACGTCCAATAAGCCAAAAACTGACTTTCATTTGAAATTATTGTGGACAAAATTCTAAAAGTTTAAACATCTCCATAGTTAGCAGCTAAAAATTTCGATAGAAGAGTTTCTGATTAACTAGTCATGAGAAATTCTATTGCGTTCTAACGGAGAGTGAGCACAGTCCTTATCATTAGTTGAATTCGCTTCTTAATTGAAATGTTGACTCAAGTTGGTACTTTGTACCTCCAAAAAAAACAAAGAAACCCTCATCGTCGATTGAGTAAATACAGGGTAATTGAATAACTAAAATAATATTGTTTTATATAGGAAAATCACAAAAATCGAAATAACATTTTTTTTTTTTTTACCATGAAATATCCATTGCAGTTTGTATAAATACATAGGAAGGACAATTTTAAATATTTGTTTTACCATCCAATAAACTCAAATTATATAATTAAATTAATATTTACCTCGGACACACACATTTTTACGTACAAAGTTGAAGGCTTCTTAATTTACTAAGTACCCTACATTCAAGTATTGTATCCTGCTTATTATAAAAGACACTTTAATTTATCACGACCGCTACCTGTTTAACTGTCTATCATAGTCATTATTGCGTGTTAAATCGGACAAGATTCAATTCGATTGTGGTCATTGTCATTTATGTCTTGAGATCTTGCATAAACGTCTACCGAAAATAGGAACAATAAGATTTTTGATGTGACACTTGGGGTCAACCATATTATTCTACAATGATTGTGTATGACCTTACATAAATCAAGCGTGGGTAGTATTACCACGTGCCGGATGTTATATATATGTAGTTACTGATATTTTCTGTGGTCAAGATCTTGCCCAAAAAAAAAGCTTTAACTTGTACCCCCTGCGGTCGGGCTATAAAATTTTTGTCTCGGGATTAGAAGTACCACTTTAGTCCCTAGATGTATAATGTACTATTACTACTATTAGCCCGATAAATAAAGGTATAGAATTATATTTTTTTTTTTTTTATTTCAGCATTTTTAACAGCATTCAACAGCGGCCTATCGTTATCATGGACTTCACCAGTAATACCAAAATTCAAAACAGAAGAAAATCCCTTCAACCATACAGTATCTACCACCCAAGTCGCCATGTTGGCCTCGTTTTTGCCACTCGGAGCAGTTACAGGACCAATTTTGGCAGGTAATAGACCATATAATTATTGAAGGAAGTAAAGTACAATTTGTTAATTGGGCCTTCAATTAACACATTTAGGCCTGTTTCCCCAAAGATTTTCTTGTTCTAAATAAAACAATACAATATTTAAAAGTTAATTGGTGTTAATAATGCAAAAACAAACAGAAATGTCAGATAGAAGACAAGTCGTGAATATATACAAGGACGCGTTCGCTAAATGCTATGAAAAAATATTCAGAAATTTATTAATGATTCATGTTATAATAATTATTATTCTAGGGAAAGGAATAATATATGGAAATTAGTAGTATGCATTATAGTCTTAAAGGAAGATCTAAAATGATGCAACATGAATAGGAATTTGATAATTCGAAGTGGTTATTTAAAAGGCATTCGAAAACTAATATATCTAATTATGCTGCTTAAAAAATTAAAATTATCTGAAATGTTTTAATTGGAATTTATCGCAATAAGTCATACATTATCCGTCTAAATTGTTAGGTAATGTAATTGAACAATACGGGTATTGGGTGATAATAATTTAAATAATTGCAAAAGCTCACAGCTATTACCAGTAAATTAAAAATTAGCCTTTAATAGCTATTTCTTTTGAAATATTGCTATAACCAGAACTAATGAAGATAAAGAAGAAATAAAATTATTAACAACTACAAATTCAATCACAAAAGCATTATTGAAAAGCTAATTGCTTGTTTTTTTTTTTAGGATTTGGCCAAAGATTAACATACTGTTGTTTCCTTAGAATCCTTAGTAATATGGTCGATAGAATCATAACTTAGACTTGTTTACCTACTATAAAACTTCGTGTACTACAGATATGAGCATATTTGGGCCAAGCCCGGTTATTTTTCGCCTCTTTTAAATTCAATTAAGACGATGCTTTATATTCCACCTAACAGGTGAGCTTATGTATAACGTGGGATATTTACGGTTAGTGACAGTGCGTAGGCGCTCTTACAACATATTAGTTGTCAGTGAGCCTCAGGTGTTGGTAATTGAGTTTGTATTCGATAAAGTGTGAGAAAGAAAGTGAAAATTGGAGATTTTAGATTACGAAAAATTTTCTTGTCTGTATCAAAAGGATTGTCAAAACTCGTTGATCTGGTTAATTATTATCTACTGTCCCAGAAATTGTGAATGCTTCTCAACAAGATACCCCTGGATTGTGTCGACTTGTAACTCCATAAGTTTCGAGCTCTTTACATTACATCCCGTATTGAGAGCAAAGGCTGCACTCTATCCATGTGAAATTTATCCCAGTTAATGGTGAAATACGAATACGTATGAGCCAGGCTCACTTAATCTTTTCCATTTTTCTTTTTTTTATTCAACTTCGTTTTAAATCAATTTCAGAACAGCCTAATACATTTTTCACTCTGTATTGAGAGCACAAGATATCCTCATCATCAAACAGCCTTTTCACATCCACTGTCGGGCATAGGTCTCCTCTAACGTTCCTAATTTTGTCTATCTTGGGCAGTTACGATTCAATTCTCTTCAAGTAGTGCATCCAGCAGGTGAGAGGGAGGTGTTCCTTGGATCGGCTGGTCTACTTTTTTTCTGCACTCGACCAAATTTTCGTCCATCTCCCATCCCCATCTCTTACGATATGTCCTAACCATGTTTATTTTCTCCTTGTTATCCATTCTGTAATGTCATTTACAGTGTTTTTTTCTGCAATTCTCGTCACTTCTCACCCAATCCCTCAAAATAAATCCAAGCATAGACCTCTCCATTCGTCTGTGTGTCACTTTCAACCTGCTGATGCTTTGGTGAGGTTGAGACCGGCAGAACACACTGATTTAATGCATTCCATTCCAGACGTCGGTTCCTATTTTCACTGATTCATCTGTAGCTTTGCAGCATTTTGGATTTCATATATCCATCGAGATATCGGGAATGTCATCCGAACCTTGATTTTGGACTTTTACTTGAAGATATTCTATTGGATTTGCTGCCTTTCGATTTTTATGTAAACTTTCATAAAAAATTTCTGCTATGTAAATCGACATGTTCCTGTTGGATGTCTCTTTTCCTGTTTCGTCTTTAAGTTTGAGAATTTCATACATCTGTCAAAACTGGTATTCCAACAATAAATTGACATGTTTTGATTGTTGATTTGAACCAGTCAGATTGTAATTACGCGATAATTTGCACTAGTGCAAATTATCAGATAATTGCATACTAACTGGTGCGAAAACTGGTGTTTTGACATTTTTTGTCAAAAAATTTAAATTTTTGATTTATGAAATTCTCTTATTAAATACAACTCGTGCAATGGAAATATATTTATAATTTTCGACAAATTTGCACTCATGCGTTTTTAAATAAAAAGGCACTCGTGCACTACGTGCACTCGTGCTCTTTTTCAACTAAAAATGCATTCGGGCAAATTTCCCAAAAATTATCAATAATTTCCATTGCACTAGTTATATTACTATGGATTATTTCTTTTTTTCCACTGTCAATTTTTGTGTTTCCATGTTCTTTTTTTCTCTAAATGTCCATGTAACGTTGTTTTTGAATACTCAAATTTTGGTTCCCAGACTCGAGTTTTCACATATGAGACCAGAGATCGCGCGATTTCTATTAGATGGAAAGCTCTGCATCAACTTTTTACAGTTCCTCCGAATTTTTGTCGATTTTCAGGTAGAATGAATTAAACTTTGTAAAGTGTAAAGTTACTTGTTCCTTTTTTAAAAATTTAATTTTATATAGTTAACCCTGTTTAAAGTTGATAGTCTGGTGACTAACATTTAACATAGAGGGTTCCAGCTACTCATAATGTTACCAATTATTGAATTATTACACTAGGGGCACCATTTTCATTTAAATTTTAAATTTGATACACCTGTTAATAGTGTTGGTACCAACAATTTCCGTTGACTATCTGGAAAGGAAGTGCTGTATGCTCACCTGGTTCGTACCAATTCTCTCCCCTTTTGAATTGTGTCGTCGAGCTGCAAGGTCGAGCGGCTGAAAATCGCCATCTTCTCGAGACAACCGGGCCGTAGAAAAATAAAGTACCTTATCGGCCTTCAGGCATTATCTTATCTCAACAAAATTAAGTTGCGTGAGGCAATAATCTGTTGATTGCAAAAAAAATTGAATCAAAAAGTCTTTATAGCTTTTCAAGGAATGCCCTATTACTTAGGGTCTGTTTCTCTCAACAAGTCCATTCCAAAAAGGCCACATTTTCAATAGAAAACCATTTCCGTGGAGGTTGGCATAGAGCTTTTGAAGGGATTCTTACCCTACAAGAAACAAGACCCTCGCAAGTCGATACACACATTTGACGACAATTCTAGTCCCTTATCTTCCTGGATTCTAGGCTGGAATCCGCAAGTTCCATATGCGGTTCCCTTCGTCAAGTGACCGAGGATGGATAGCTTCCATGCTCTATCTTATGTTGGAATGGAGGCTTGTATTACATTTTTCTAATAACTTTCGATACCTTTTCTTTTATTAAATCAGTTTTATAGTCAAGTAACAAATTTAAGATATTTTTTTTTATATGATATTCATGCAACATTTGAACTCTCTGATTCTTGACACGATGGTAGAGAATTAGCTTTCGTTTTATCGAATTTATTATGGATTTGTCTTTGCATAACTTTTAATATTGCCTTATATTTTATCATTTTTATTAATTAATAATAATTGATAAGTAATTTGAACAAAGGTCAAGGTTGGACAACACGTTCTGAATTTAAACTTATTGAGTAAGTACCTATAACGTCAAAAATTGATCAATTTTTCACCCTGGGTCCTACGACCTATATATTTGAGGATTTCTATTATATCTCCAGAGCATTTAACGGTTATATAGCCCAACTTTCGATTTCTTTCAGGTACAATTTGATTTTATTGAATTAATTTTTTTACAGAAGCTGACTGTTAATTATGGTTGTTTATAATTTATTAAATAAACCATAATAATATAATTTAAATAAACTTTATAATGAAATAATGGAGCTACAAGATAAGATAAGATTTGACTAGACTAGACTAGAATGACAAGAATGCTGATAAGACCAGCAACAAGTTTCTCAAGCTAATATTCCATGTATAAGTTAAATGCAGGTTTCGTACCTCATTTGAAAGCTCTACCTTCTGGGTATCTTTCCAGTATGAAATGTATTCATATTAATATATGTTACAATTTAGTGGAAGTGCGAAGGCTTTCATTTTACTCCATGTGCGAGTTTGCATCCCACATATTGGTTGACCATATTTATCAATACAATTTCCAATCATTTATTTTTTTAAAATTAATTTTCTGGAAACTTAAATCTTTATATTTTCCTTTCAAATTGATGATATGGCCAGCGACTGTTAATAAACTTATATGGCAAGTATATTGAAGTGCATTGTTATTATACTATTATTTTTTTATTGAGCTTGACGAATCTAATTGGAAGTTAACCTCTTTTTATTGATTTGACCTAAAGTGTTTTACCAGTATTTGATTTTATATTTTGGAAATTATTCAACAATCGATGATTGACTTCATTGTTGTGAAATATACGCTAATTTAATTTGAATTTAAAACTTACTACTTATTACCTATTACCATTTGCTGATTATTTCTTAGATGTATTTCTGAATTTACACCTTTCCATATTTTAAGCAATTTTATTATTAATTTTTTTTTTTAAATTCAGTAGCGCTCTTACCATTCTGTACTGATTAAACTATCAACCCACACCTCACAAAACCGAGCATATTATGGGCTCCTTGTTAATTCATTAACGAAAGGGGTTACATACTTGAATTTTGGTCCGTCGAGTAGTTGAGAAAGGTAGTTCGCAATAATTCTGGTGTTCGGCGCGTAATAAAAATTCTTTGATGTTTTTTTCCGCGTTCTAGAAGCCGTACTTCAATTATATCATAATGTTCAGTCCAGCAACCTCTTTGGACACTAATCGGTACTTATAGTGATTGAAACAATTATCGGTATTTTATTTGGGATTTCAATGGCCTTTGAAGAAGGTTTTAGACGAATGAGCCTTGTTAGAGCTGTAAGGAAAGCTGAGATCTTGTATAAATGGACCCTGAACCTTAGGCATGCGTGCAGATGTATGAGTTGACGACCGTCACAGAATACTCTACTCTTATTAAATATATGCGAGATCAGAAAAGCTTTGAGTTTCCTGAGAACAGTTTTTATGGAGCTTGGCAGATGAATAATTATCCCAAGACAAAGTTCGATTTGATAAAAATCAGAGTGTCGGATAAAGAGATGAGTCAGAAGGATAAACTCAACCAATCTATGATGGCAACAATATGCAGGACATAGCAGATGCACTATGAAAAGAACAGCACATTTAAAGTGGCCATGCAAACAGCCTTTAAAAGAAACGTTAGTTGGTATCAGTTGTTATACATATGATTTGAGTAAATTGATTGAAGTGACATGGGGTTTGTTTCTGCATAGTCACAAACCAGGTCAATCAAATCGTTAATTATTGGAAACAAATTTCAGAGTGCTTTCGATCAGTTCGTTCAGATCGGAAAAACACAAACAAAAAGGATTTTGAATTATTGTTGATTATTTTGGAGTAGCGTTTAAAACCATTAGATTTGTAGATGTATAGGCGCAAACCTACAGATTCGTTCGTAATTGTTGCTTAGTTATGTTACCACACAAGACAGTTACTATAAATTACTTTTAGATTATTATCCATGTAAAGAAAAAGTGAATTATTATATGTATGATACCATTTTCTCCTCAATATTTTAATACCCAACAAAGAACCGAGGCTTGTCAGCGGCGTTACGGTACGTTAGTATTATGCTAATTAGGATCGAGTGTTTAACAAAAATCTTTAAGGAATTTGTCCCAAGGCTAGCCCAATTGAAAGGAGCAGGAATATTGCACAAATCGTATCTTATGTTAGAACTTTTCATTTTTATACTTAGTGATATTGATATTTTTGTTGAGGTTGTTTTTTTTGTTGAATTTTTTTGAAATTATACAATAGGTACCTACCTTATTTTTATGATTTTTTTACCAACGACCACTATTTTTTGATTGATGTAAATCACAGATCATTGATCCTAATTATCTCAAATGCCTTCAGGTGCTTGGTAACCATTTACTTTTTCAGTAAGTACCTACAAGTAACTACATTTCTTGTGAACTTTTAATTACATACATAATATAGTTGATCGTTAATCATCAAATTCGTACCTAGCCTTAGTCGTAATTTTAGGATGGTGTGTGTAAAAAACTACTAAGGAAAAAAGTAAAATTTTGTACAATACGTAATTAGCCCGAGAATTAGCTCTGAGTTAAAATGTTTATTCTTCAGAAGGATTTAAATTTGAAAAATTAGTTTTTTTACTTTCAACCAAAAATACTTAGTGCTTTCCACTGTTTTACCAAGAAAATGAGGCTACTTGCATGTGTTTGAATCACGGAGGAAAGAAACAATTGTAGTATTCCATACACAATTCAAATTATTGAAACTTATATTTAAGTATAGTATTATATTTAAGTATAGTTTAAGTAAGTAATATAGATAATAGATAGCTACATCACGTACAAGCAGATTCATTTCTGCTTCTGTGATTATTGTTTATTTGCTAGATGTAAGTTTTTTCCACTGTAAACTTGCTATTGTAAACTTAGTAAATAAACTTTATTATTATTATTATTATTATTAGTCTAGTAGAGCGCTTTCGGCTTTCGCTATCATCAGTGCTACTTTTCAGGTACCGATACAGAAGTTGAAATTGTAAAAGGACAACGACGATGAGAATAAAAAACATTACGACATGAAAAAATCTGTTTAATATCTACAAAACAAAACAATTATTTAAGATAAAATACTTAATTTCTTTTTGAAATCTTTACTCTCTGGCGGCGTCCTCAAGAGAATTATTTTTAGATTTTTTGAAAAAGTTTGTGGTCTTTTATCGTGTACAGATGTGTAATTCTTGTCGTGTAGTAATGTTTTTTATCCTCATCGTTGATGTCCTTCTACAATGTTAAATTCAGGGTCGGATCCTGTACTGTACTGTAGGTACCTACCTACTGGTGATTGGGACAGCCGAGAGTGCTCTACTACGCTTAGTTTCAAAAAATTGAATTGTGCATGGAATACAATTTGTTTCCTTTCTTCCACAGTTTTGTAAAATAAAGAAAAAAGAGTGAGAAAGCGATCTAGTAAACCAGAAAATTTTAAAATTTACTTGGATGAACATTAAATAAATAGATTCCGTCTTTGCTCTCAATGCGGGGTGCAAGATATAGGGCTGAACTAGAACTAGAGTTCAAATCAAGTAAAATTGAATAAATAAAATAAAGAAAAGAGAAGGACATCCAGTAAGCCTGCCTCAACAGTACTTCAGATAGAGTGAAATAGATGAAGACAGAAGGTATAAAAATGGGTTGATTTCACCAATCTTATCAAACAGCAGAGTGGTACAGAGACATCGATAACAAAATCCTTAATTTTGCACTTACGTTGGTCAGCAAAACGACAGTCAAACAAAGAGAAGTTCACGATCCAGGAGATTTTCTAGGAATTTACTGTCCGCAGCAACAAGGAAGACCCTGGCCGTTTGGAGAATATTAAAAAGGAAAGTAGTGAAATTTGTAGACAAAATGAGAACATGAGATGAATGAGAATTCTGACGACCTTACGTCAGCGGAAGATTGTTTCCATCGAAATCCTAATAACGGTTCGAGGTTGAATTATTCAATCCATCATACTGATGCCATTATTCTCGAAGACAAATAACATTCTTCACTAAAAAATTATTTCAATCGCCTGTGTGCTGACCAATGCATGTTCGTCTCCAAGATCAGGATCAGTAAATGGCCTGAACACTTCCTGTTCTTCACCTTATCCGAAATTCTTGATACAAAAGAAATCTTGGCAAACTACAGTTATACCATGCATATCCATAATACCAAAAGAAAAATATAAATCCAAAACCATAACAGGTTTTCTATCATGAAACTTAACACTCTTTCAACATAGAAGTGAGTTTTGACGGAAAGGCTAGGGGTGATTTTCTTCTTAGCATAATTTTCGCCCATCAGTACCTACTATTTTAATTATTCTTTTCAGGATGGGTAGCGGATAGGTACGGCCGAAAGTTCACCATGATGCTACTAGCTGTTCCATCGATTGCTGGCTTCTGCATATTGGCTTTTGCGAAGATGATTGAACTGTGGTATCTTGCAAGGTGAGTGAATTGCAGCTAGTTATTTTTTTCTTGTAGCGGTTAAATTAATCAGGGTCTTGAATGTTCTATTTAGATTAATATCATATTGAATTTGTCATATTTACAACCGTGATCAAATTGGTAAACCACGGGAAGGCTTTGAAGCAATTAGGCATTCCAGTGGTTTTCCGAATTGAAAGTTATGGTTCGAAATTGATAGGAGAATCAAGATTTCCTGGATTATTTCACTAGTAAGTAATATCGTTGATTATATTTTTTCCCCAGTATGAAGTGTTTATGAACACTAATAAATATCGAAGTAAAAATGTGTCAGGAACTGGTGAACATGCCTTTCTCCAGCTTCGGAATACGTCTTCATGCAATTTTTATCGATGGCACCCAAGCTTTACCCTTTTGTGGAACAACTTTGGACTCCGAGTTAAATTGTATCTTTCAGAACTCTATGATCACTGCCTATCTGTATACCCCAAGACAGTTACAATTTTATTGGGAACAAAATAACATAAAGCTGCGACTAGTCTAAATCGATAGGATTTATGGTCCTTATGGAAATACTAAAAGTCCCCAGACCTCCCTCTAGGGAAACATTATCAAAATAGCGCCGCCATCTTGGATTTTTGGCATTTTTTGCTTAATTTAAGTTTTACTCGAAAACTACTCATTTTTCGTGAAAATATGAAGAGGAATAAATTGGAAAGCACAAAAAAACCTTTAAAAAGAGTTATTTTTGAACTTCCTGGGTACTACCCTTACTGAGATAGCAGCCGAAGAAATACCGCTTTCCACATGCAAACTAATATAACTTGAATATTGTTGCGTTTTATAGGAAATCTGATATAAATCCATTTTAAACGCTTCAGAATAGCTGTTACACTTTTATGAAAATTTTATTGTTTTATACAACAAATTCGATCAACGAGACATAATATTACTAACGTGTATTCTACCTACTACATACTACATATACATATAGAAACTTGTTTACTCTGTTATGATGGGTACAAACATATAACAACAATAGTTATTTAAACAACAAATTTTGAAAACGACTTTTTTCGTACGGCCGAGACAGTTTAAACGAGTTTTTTACATGCTTCTTCTACAACTGCAAAATAAGGCAACCAAAATTGTATTTTGATGGAAATGACTAATAATTTTACATAGATTAAAAAACGTAAACAATTTGAAAAAATTATATAGACAATAGATAAACAAAGATGATATGACATGAAATTACTCGAGAACTTGCCTACCTTTCCTATATATCTTTGGAATTCAGCCAATCACACTAGACCCTACACCGGATAATAACAAAAAACACATTTCAAACCTCAATCCCAGACTATTCTCGTATCGCATTCAAATCTAATCCGTACGTAATACTTGAGTAAGGGCGATAGTCGAGTCAGCTGTTTGCGGTGGTTTGTAATCGTATCACTCATAGTACGTCCACCATGTTACGTAATGACTGGAAGTCAAGAAAACACACCTGAGGATTTTAACAAATGCCGCTTTTACTAGCGTGCGGCTAAGCCCACTTTCCGCGCGCATTTCAGTTTTGAAAGTGTCACTTTTCCGCATTACTTTTCCGCACTAGTGCGGAAAGGGAAAATATCTAAAATTGTATTTAAAATTAGTAGAGGTACAAGTATCAATTTTCATCTAGTACAAAAAATATCGTTCTATAATCTATACTCGTGCGGAAAGTATCTTTTCCTCACTTGCTTTGCATCGTTCGGCCAACTGTAATCGCGTGCGAAAAAGTGACACTTTCCGCACGCGAGTACTCATGTCAGAAATATGTTTTAAGTCACGTTCTTGGAATTTCCTGCTAATGCTTTTCTCTCAAAAAGAAAAATAAAAAAATCCTATGTCGACGGTACACCATCGGCTCCTATCTTGGTAAGGGTACTACCGCGGATGCTGGGTAGTACCTATGTACCTCAGATTTAATTCTTCGATTTACGTCTCTTTATATTTCTTAAAAAGTGAGTGGTTTATGAGTAAAATGAAAATTAGGCAAAAAAATGTTTTTTGACAGTACTTCTTTGGCTCATATCTTAGTAAGGGTAGTACCCAGGAAGTCCAAAAATAACTTTTTTTTTAAAGGTTTTTTTTGTGCTTTTCAATTTATCTCTCTTCATATTTTCTCGAAAAATGAGTAGTTTTTAAGTAATACGTAAATTAAGCAAAAAATATCAAAAATCCAAGATGGCGGCGCCCTTTTGACAGTGTTCCTCTTGGGGGAGGTCTGGCCCCGTATTCTTGACTGTCCGGGAAGGGAGTGTTCCCGGGAACGTTCCCAGGAAAGCTAGTTCACTTTCGCTCCCGGGAGCTAAAAGGTCGTATTCTTGAATACCCACAAACGCTCGCAATGTTGCCGCCTATGCGAGTGTCACTCGGACTAACCAAAACGTATTTTCAAGCGAAAAAAACGAAGAGGAAGTAATCTAACCCCAACGTTTGATGTTTATTATTGTCTATTTTTCCAAACTTTGAATGCTGAAAGGCGTTTGGTTTTGATAATTTATTTATTTTTAATTAGGTACCCTATGAGCATCATCGCTGTGTTTTCGATAATTGTATTCCTCCTTTGGGATTTTTTATACATGAGGGAAATATTCCGCATAATTTTCCGCAGCATAAATTCCGTATTCCTGTTCCTGAACTTCATGTGGCTCATCAACTTCTGGAATACTGTGTTCAATGCATACCTTTGTAGTTTTGGTTGAAGCCGAGATTTGCATTGAAGCGGTAACATACGGAGTAACCATGTCCACTATTTCGTGGCATACATTTTTGCTCACTCCTAAAAATTTCATGAATTTCTGATCAAGAGAAAAAGAATTCTTCGACGCAGAACATCCCATCCTATTTCTTTCGCTTCCGCAGCATTTCCCATGTCTTCTTGGATTATGTTCTGTATTCAAGATAATCTCATTAAAATAATCCACATTCATAAAAATGACACACATAGAAACGAAAAAGCCGTGAACTTGGTGAACATGAAAGGAGAATACAAAAACAACGTCAAGTTTGAAAACAACGTCAAGTTTTGAGGTTAGAAACCCTGGCGGGAACTCGTTTTCTCTTGGGTGAGAGGATGGGAACTTCAAAATTCCCGGGAACTTTCACTTTACAGTCCCATTTTCAAGAATATGACATGTACCGTTTTGAGGTGAACCACGCTCACTTCCCGAGCAAGTTCTCCTCCCAGAAATCAAGAATACGGCCCCTCTGGGGACTTTTAGTATGTTCATCAGGACCAACAATCCTATCAATTGAGACTAGTCGCAGCTTTATGTTATTTTGTTCCCAATTCACCATATAAGAATTTTTAACTGTCTTGGAGTAGTACTGTTACTTATTGAGTCATCTTCGAAGATGTATCTCTATTCTAGTCTATTCGTTTTTTGTCACACCCACTGGTGATATCCAGAATCATTTTTCTTAGGATCCATTCTTGAAGAAACTGTTAGTAGCGTCCACGTTTTGCTGCTCCAGGTATTCATTTCTCTTCTCTCGATTCTGATCCGTATCCGAAGCTGTCAACTATATATTCAGAATCTTCTTTGCGACCTAATTTTGCTTTAAACTCGCCCATGATAACAGTTTTTGATGCTTTGCTTCGAATACCACTGTTGATAGATCTTCAAGAAAAATTTATAGATTCTCGTCCAATGTAGGTGCTTGGATCAGCTTTAGAAAGATGCTCTTATTGATATCTAGGATGATGTATGTATATGTATGTAACTCTATTAGAAACAGCCTTGAATGTCTAGATGCAGTCGGTTCCCCCAGTTTCGATCAATGCAGTTTGCACCACTTCGCTTCACTTCTAAGAACCTCAGTATATTTTATCTAGTTTCTCAAGTTCTTTAATTTCAATAGTTTTGTTACCTTGACCATGGATCTTATGTTGAATGTTGCTAGGTAAAATTTGCTGGTATATTGGGCTTTCCAATTATAGTATTTCCAGTATTTCCATCATTTTACTTTTGCACAGAATCCTTGAGAGCAACCGGATGATGATGATGGTTTAGGATTCTGGACATTTTGTCATACCTACCTGAAATACTAATTTCCTTTGTTTTGCGGTCAAGTGAGTTCAACTGAGAGGTGTTGATATAAATTACCTCGCTTCCTATGCGTCTGGATGAGAAAGCGAAAAGCCCAATGGTTAGGCCGTGTTTATGTTGGAGCTGTGATAAACGATAAAAGCAACGATACTAATGATAATTTACATTAGTATCGTTGCTTTTATCGTGTATCACAGCTCCAACATAAACACGACCTTAGGGATGGATGGAGGGTTATAGGAAAGAGTTTTGTGCAGTTTCTTCCAATTCCCAGGAAAGTCAACCAACGCTCACGTGGGTAAGATTACGTCCCTGAAGTGGCCCCGTAGTGGAAATGAGTGCCCTAAGTGATCACATACTAAAAATGTTAAAGTTCTCAACAAAAAGTCAACAATTTCTATAATTATTAAAATCTCTCATCACATTAGTAAGTAGGGCTTTCTACAGATAGCTATACAGACCTTTTCAGGAATGTCTTTGAAATAGTAACAACAACGATCTGAAGGGAATACAACATCGATCAGACTTATCAGCCAAGCTTTGAAAAATATGTTTGAAAAATTTGCGAACGAGAAAACAGCATAACAGAGACAACGACTAATCAATTTTGGATGTTACTGATTGGTGGTCAAATTAGCTATTTTCGTAATCCTGGCCTATGCCTTTACGAATCCACCTGCTCCAATTTTGATACTGTTTTATAACAGCTCTTGGTTGCAGTATTTGGTGCGCCGACCAGTAAATAGATGGAGAGGAGACTCTGTATTCATCTGATCAGTTTAATTTTAGATACGCCGAGTATAGAGCTATAATTACTAATAACCAAGCCTGATGGTTACAAGAGATGTTAAAAGAATCAGATGGACAAAATAGGAGTGAAATCGAATTACATAGAGATAAAGAGACTGAGGGAGTCAAAGCAGAGAATATAGTAATAAGAATTAAATAAGGAAAATGAAATGGCAGAAATTACAAATGAATTGAACTTGCCTGGTTGAGCTGTATCCTAAGAAATAAAAAATGGTTACTGAATAAAGATGTTTTACCAATGAGAGGCTTCCTGCTTTTACTAACATATGACAAACATGCATATTCATGGAAGCAAATCTGGACGGAATACTACTAGCCACAAGCGGAATGTAAGGATATAATATGTCACGCAATTAGATCGAAAAAGTAGACGAGGGATTAAACAAAAGTGAGAGAAAATCCTTTAAACCTAAAATAAAAGTTCGAAAGATAGATTGGGATTGGATTGGAGTCATTAGAGTTAGAGACTGGTGCAATATATGAAAGAGGAAAAGCAAGCGATTTAAAATGGTCGAATATGGCTGAGATTGGCTATAGATGGTGATAGCGAGATGTAAAAGTAAGGTAGACCAATTTCAAAGGATAGACCAAAAACGCTCTATTGAAAAATATATCTATACAGGGTGTCCCACCAGGAACCAAATGAATCTATATAGGTATGAAAAACTGTGTGCAGAAAATTTTTCAAAATTTGACAGTATACTATAATGTCAATAGGGGAAACTCGGCTAAAATATTTCCAAGATGGTGGCTCTTTCGGTTATACCGGAAGTAGTCGTAAATTTGCTTATTTTAAATGAGACAACCTGTATTTGGATTCTAAGTAAAATTCTGAGCAGATTTCATGTGATATACCCTATACCTAAGTTCGACTGTATTGGAAATATTGACTATTGAAAATTGACTTTTTGTAAATTTGATAGGCTGTAAAACCTGAACGACTAATTTTAGAGAAAAACCGATTTCACATTCCTATCTTAGATTTTCATGAACTACCATTGGACACCAACTTTGAATTTAACCGAAGAATAAATTTAACTGAAATTTTTAATCAGATGTACTCAACAAATAACACTCAATGCCGACTGATGCTCATGCTTTAAACTTAAGATAACGTCTGATAACGCTGCTATTGAATAATTTGATCTTTCCCAAATGTGTATGCCCATGCTATTAATTTCTTTTTCTATTTACTACCCTTATTAAGTTGGGCTGATTTTTATATATTTTTCATCATCTAATCACATATTGTCCGTCGTTATTAATCTGACACTTTCCGAATGAGGAGCGAGGGGGTGAAGCGTATGGCCAAAACAGGTGTGACGTCAGGTGGCCATCTAATGTAGGGAGCTACCAGCTCACATTCCTTTGGAGTATCAGATTAAAATGGACGGACTTTATAGGTATAGTAGGTATTTAAAACCTCATTTTTTCCTTCCAATATTGATTGTATTATTATTATGTGCTTCTTATACAAATATATACAATTCGGCAAATAATTCTAAATAAACTATCATCAAGGTACCAATGCAAAATCTAGATTTTTTGAAAGACTTCTATTCAGGTTTATCCTTTCTGCCATAAGTAAGTAGATCCTAATCAAAGTCAGAACTATAAAACTATAGATCAATCAATGGCGGAATTATCTCCACATAATACATGTAATTTATACTAATTTATTGCATTCAGCATGTCTGAATAATAATGTCAGATTGAATAGTTGCGTAACCAATTGCATCTTGCCCGCACTTTGTTGATTCATTATTCGATTTCTTGTTCCTGGTAATTTCTCATGCAAATGTTTTGTTTTCAGATTCCTTTTAGGAATTGGAGTAGGATGCTACTTTGCGATTTGTCCAATGTACGTTGCAGAAATCTGCCAGAACCACAACAGAGCAAAATTCGGCTGCCTATTTGGTGTTTTCATAACTTTAGGATTATTTTATCCGTTCTCTGTCGGAGCACATCTGATTTTGCCATTATATGCAATGACTTGCAATATACCATTGGTAGTATTTTTAATAGGTAGGTCATTGTAACTTAAATCATAAAAAATATTCGATAATAATAATAATGGATTTTTTTTTTAGTTTTTGGAATGTTCATGCCTGAAACTCCAGTATTTTTACTTGGCAAAGGCAGAATAAAGGAAGCTGAAGACGCTCTTGTGAAATTAAGAAAGAAGAAAGCAATTGAGGTTCAAGATGAAATAAATGAGATATTAACAGTTGTGGAAAAAGGTAGCGGCCAAGGGCAAGGTAATATTATTCAAATTATTTGAATAAATCCTAATTTGATTATTTTTGTAGCCGGATTCAAAGAACTTTGGGCCACAGCCAAAAAAGCATTAATAATCTGCATAGGTTTAGTTATCATCCAAGAATTTTCCGGTATTCATCCCATGATGGCATATTTAAAACCAATTTTCCTAGCCAGTGGCACCAAAATATCTCCCGATATTTCTACAATAATTTTCGGATTATCACAAATAACTTCCAATTTCATTACAGCACTGATTGTAGAAAAAATTGGCAGAAGAGTTTTATATTTAATATCAGCACTAGGATGTTCAGTAGCTTGTGGAATTCTAGGAGCATATTTCTTCCTACAAACTAGAGAGATCGATTTGGAATCAGTATATTGGTTACCACTGACATGCATGGTTGCCTATATGATCTTTTTCAGTTGCGGTTTAGGACCTCTAGCATGGTCCATAGTAGGAGAAATATTCCCAGCCAACGTCAAAGGAATCGGATCAGGTTGTACCGTTTGTATCTCATTTACAGCGTCGTTTATAGTACTCATGACTTTCCCCATAATGAGCGAACGGCACACGATGACAGCGCCATTTTGGTTGTACGCCATAGTCGCTTGCATTGGAATTTTCTTTATTTACTTTATGGTACCTGAAACTAGAGGAATGACGCTGGCTCAGATACAAGAGTTGCTTCAGAAGACTGATAAAAAATCCAAAACTGTTAGTAAACAAACTTTGAACGCTTCGACTGAGAGTGTAACGACGTATTTTTAAGAATATAAATATTTATTTTGAAATTACTTTGTATTTCTTTATTTTTACCTCCCTAAACTTCTACAGTTTTGAGCATATCTACGTTAAGCAAATACATATTCCAAATTTTATACAGCAAACAGCAGCTTAAATAAAGTGTTAGATCGCTGTACCATTTGGACGTCTATAAATCAATACTTTAGTTTTTCATGAGAAAAGGAAAAATGTTTACTCAATGATAACTAAATTGCTTAGACTCGAAAGGTACCTAAAAACCATTTTGGTAGAAAAAAAAACTATACTTACTTCCCAACACTACAGAAAAGATAGGGGATTGGGAGAGTACTGTGGACCAAAGCGATATCCAACCATGGAGTATGGACAATTTATAATACCAACCTACATATTTTATGTTTGGAGATTCACGTTTATTTATGTACCTGCGTATATAATTTCGTGATCACGTCAGGCTTATAAAAGTTACGTTAAGCTTCCAAGGTCATACTTACCGATCGATATCAATTAATCTCAATAGCTCTAAATCAATCTCATACAATTATGCGTGGTTTTTAGATGAGCAATGAAAAAAAAATACCAAGAACAATTGATCCAATACACATACATTATGACCTATATCCAATTATGCCTACTGGTATTTTTTCCATTTTTTCCCTATCGTTTCACAGGGTTGAAATTAGTTTCACACTGAATGTCGTGAAAATAATATAGCAATTTTCAGTGATAAATTGCTTGGGTTCATCCAATTGAATCTGGCCAAAATCAACCTATTTCTTGGTTTACATATATTGTTTAATGAAACGTTTAGTGACTATTATTTTTGCTATTACATTTGCACGGCATACATTGTAAATCCATTTCTTACCCTGTGCAAGGATACAGGATACCTCACCTGCAGGGACACGGCATTTTGCGAACAATAAGCGCCAAGCGGCATTGTTTATGTTTTCAATGTTGTCGTTATGTTGGGAAGAAATACAGATTAAGTAGATATAATCGTCACGAAGTTGTATCGAGAGACCGGCCAGATTCTTGGAATCGAGTTGTTTACGTCTAGCCCGACTATGCAAAGAATTCTATTTTATTCGAATAGGACGCCAGGTATTTCTAAATAAATCCCGCGTACAATGTCTGCTATATAGATAACGCGCGGTTATTCAGTTAGTCAGTGTAAACAAATTAAAACCAGGAAGATCACCTGGAACTGACAGCTTGGGCATTGATACAATTAAGGAAATGAAAAATGAAATATCGCCTACTTCATGTAAGTTGATAAATCTTGTTTTTAATACTGCATCTGTACCAAGTTTGTTTAAAATGGCCAAGGTTGTCCCTTTATTTAAGGGTGGTGATAGCATAGAACTAAACAACTACAGGCCCATTTCCCTGCTCCCAGCTATGTCTAAGGTATTAGAAACCTGTGTAAATATGAGATTAACCAATTATTTGGATGAAATACATTTTTGGTATGCGGGTCAATATGAACCAGGCAACTCAGCAATACCTCCTCAGCAACTATAAACATAATTACAAATATTTATGAAAAGGTTGATAAGAGATATAAGTGAGACTTGTCTCGCTGGACTTAAGGAAAGCTTTTGACACACTAAATCACAAAATTCTCGTGGAGGTGCTTGAAAAAACTGGTATCGGAGCACTACTGTGGTTTAGGGACTATCTATCGGGCAGACTGCAGTATGTTGAATGTGAAGGTAACAGAAGTAAAATGGAAAACATTGTACACGGAGTGCCCCAAGGCTTAATTTTGGTACCGACACTTTTCCTAGTCTACATGAGCTCACTGTCATACATACCTCTTCCTGGCTCTCTCAATTTATATGCAGATGACAATTATTTTAACAAGGACCCTGCTAACTTAAAAATCATCATTGAAGAAGGCTTACAGAAAATAAGCGATTGGCTCTGTTAACACAAACTTAGTTTACATGTGAAAAAATCAAGCTATATGGTAATATCAAAGTTTGAGTCCTGGCATGACTTTACAATAAACTTTCAGGGTCTCCCATTGACTCGTGCAGACTGCATCAAATACCTGGGACTCTTTGTCGATTCAAAACTTACTTGGGATATGCACATCTTGCATATATTACACCAGCAGTTGGAGTACTTGGTCGAATATCGGACTATCTGTCCATCACGCATCGTAGGATGATATACAATTCCCTCATCCATTCTCACATATCATATCTAACTCTGCTATGGGGCAATGCTTCCCTTAACAAACTGCTTCCATTGTCAGTTCTCCAAAATCGTGCTATAAAAAAATTGTTTAAGCTGCCATTTCTGAGACTTATATTATCCGAATGGCATCCTGAACATTCAGTCCCTGTATATCTTGCAATCATGCATCTTTATCCATTCTTGCAAGACTCTACAATAAGTCTCATCCCAGCCAACACAATCCATCACCACAATACCAGACTCAATAAAAAACTTAAGAACGTCGGCAATGAACACTACAACTGGCCAACGCAGCATCTTATCAGAAGGACTAAGCTATGTCCATCGTGAACACGATACGAGCGGTGCGTGCGATGCGGCAAACGCACGCACCGTTGAAAAAACGCGGCAAATGCGTTTGTGTCCAACGTGCCCACGACATTGTTGGTCGTTGTTCCTTGTCTCTTGCGTTGCTTTGCATTTATGAAATGGAGGAACCAGAACTTGTACTTTTATTAGAAATAGTATACTGAAATTGATAAGGTTAAGAAGAATGGCCAAGGAAGAAAAAGCAATCGTCCTATGAAATATTTCGAAAACGATTAAAGTTGAAAGAATTTCATCATTTATATCAACAGCTACGTGCAGATCCAAATTCTAAATGCATTTCTTTTATTCCATAAAACATCACGTTTCTGAATTTCATTAATAAATTCTTCCATCGTCGGCATCCGTCGTACGAGTTCTGCGTGCAAATTCAAACATGTTTGTATTTTAAACAAAGCGTGCGTTGCGGGCACACAAAATCGCCCGCAACGCCCGCGCAATGCATCTACTTTGGACATGCTAATTTGAATACATAGGTTTAATCGCAGACGTTCACCGCATCGCACGTACCGCATCGCACGTACCGCATCGCACGTACCGCATCGCACGTACCGCATCGCACGTACCGCATCGCACGTACCGCATCGCACGTACCGCATCGCACGTACCGCATCGCACGTACCGCATCGCACGTACCGCATCGCACGTACCGCATCGCACGTACCGCATCGCACGTACCGCATCGCACGTACCGCATCGCACGTACCGCATCGCACGTACCGCATCGCACGTACCGCATCGCACGTACCGCATCGCACGTACCGCATCGCACGTACCGCATCGCACGTACCGCATCGCACGTACCGCTCATGTCGTGTTCACGTGGGACATAGCGTAAGTTACTACAATCGAATTCCAGAATCTGTTAAAAGATTGAACATAACTTGCTTCAAGTGTAAGCTGAAGCAGCTGATCTTCGATGGATACTTTGGGAAGGTACAATGAAACACTTTATCTGCAATTTAGAACTAATATATTCATAAATGCAACAACTTCGTGATACAGTACCTACTTGTACTGGATTTTTTCTTTTGCGTGATATTGTATAATGTATAATAATACGGTATATTGTAATAATGTTATATGTGATACTGAATGACCCGCATAGCTTTCCAGCTTAGGGTCGACAGGGCTGGGACTCTGTAACGGATAGAGATATTTTCTCTATCTCTATTGACGTCCCCTCTCTATTGATTTCGAAAAGAGAGAAGAAGACAGCAAGTGCCATAGCGATAAGGATTACGATCTCTATCCGTTACAGAGTTCCAGCCCAGGGTCTCTAGTTTAGGTACATACATCTATTGTTCAACTACCATGTTGAAATAAAGGAAAAAATAAATTAATTAAAAAAATATATCCATGAAAGTGTACACTGTAGATTTGAAACCACAACTTAGTTTACAATTCTATGCACTGAGCTGAACTAGGAGGAGCAGGTATCAGTTTACCAATAGGGCTGGCACCAAGGGTGCTACCTCCAAAACCCAGCGCAGCTCAATTTGCAGGCCGCAATACAGGTTTTGCGTTAAAGACGCCGATTGAGATAGATCAAGTTGTGTAGGGTACTTCACAGTAGATGGACAAAATGATGCAGAATTATTTTTTAAAATTTCTTAGGTAGGTAGGTACTTGTCTAAAAATCGTTTGAAAAAATAAACATCTAAACAAAATGTAAAATTCTATACAAAAAAAGAATAACCCAATTTCAATGCCAATTTCTTTAATTTATAATTTGGAACCTCATTTCTGGCCGTCCATTTTGTCATGAAACAAAGCCAGACGTATCTCGTTATTTTATTGCTTTTAGAAGTTGGACAACCAACAAGGGGCTCCAAGCATCAACCCCAAAAACTGCATTTTATTCATTGTCTCCATAAAATTGGATTTGCTGCAAAACTGGGTCTCAAGCGTGAATGCGGTTGCATGTCTAAATGTGAAGCTGACAGATGTAAATTCGTTCTTTCTCCGATGGGAAATGACTGTGAGAAAAAAGGCGCAAAGACTCTTATAATGGTGTTTACGGAAATCGAATCCAATTTCTGGATGGCCAAAGAAACGAACGACAAAATTGACTACTTTTCTTTTGTTAGCTCCAAAGGGAGTTAGAGTTTTAGCAGCTCATCTCGTTTATGTGTGTTTCCTAGCCGAAAACAATCAGAAAAAATGGGTGCTTGGAAGCAAACAATTTTCTTAAGATATAAGAAAATCTCTTGAGAAAAAACAGTTAAATGTTCAACATATATTTCTCCTGTTTTCAAGTCGCAAATACCTTTTTTTCCAGAAAATTGCGTGACTTAACAGATGGATGTTGTTATAAATAAACAAGTAGAAGTGGAAAATTTGTCGTGTTAACGATGCTAATAAAAATTTTACGATCCCTTAAACAAGAAATAATGGTTGGTACGTAATAATACAGAGAAGGAAATGGCCCTTAAAATATTGTACTGTAGAGACAATATTG